CATTTTTTCTATCGATATCGAAGAAGGTGTACCGTCGATAAATATTGATACCGTTTTATCGCCCAGGCCTAATTCATATGCTGTAAATTTTAACCTAAAAATCTTGATGCTGATCAAAAAAGGTTCATGGACATGTTATGTGTTACCAACCAAACGCAAAACACACATACCTGCACACACAAAAGGATTTAAGAAAATCAGTGCAGCAGGAGATGCAGGTAAGCACACCAAGAGCCAGCAATGCAACTAAACTCAAAGTTTATGTCAGCAGGGCAATACTGTTGTTTTATTTGACCAGATTGTAATGTTTATACGTTGGAGGCTTCAAAATCCCATAAAATATTTTTTTTACACCCAAAGCTGAAGATAAAACATGAGCATAGAAATCCAGTAGTCCATGTTAGGCCACAGAAAGTTCAACTCAAACACACAAGACTTACCGCTGCCTTCAGACAGTGAACCAGCAGAAACATGAATCATATGACAGATAAATAAAGACACAATAAAGAGTCATTATAGAGCTCGTCCTGATAAAGACATGATGAGTGAAGCTGATAAGACTCACCTGACCGAAGAACGCTACTCTGAAATACGTTCCCAGCAAGCGCTTGCCGGTGTGCATGACCTCTGTGACCTTACTGTACGCACGGTGCAGGGTGTCATAGAGGTGAGCCAGTCTCTGTCACAAACATCAACAACAGGGTTTACAAAACACATCGGCTCTGATTTAAAGGTGAGTTTCAATTTCTGTACTGATGTGTGTAATTTTAGTAAAAGCTCCGGTAACACACCCTTAAGGCTTGTTCACACCGGGTTGTTATGGAGAGGAATTGCAGATCAAATAGGATTCGATGTGTACCGGGCTATTTCTGTTTTTCATTAAGCGCCATCTAATGTCAGGGAGTGAATTTGCACGTTCACTCGGCTCATCGCCTGCGAAAATCGCTTGGGTATGAACACCAAAGACGCGCCGAAAAACGTCGGCGATAAGCACGCGCGATAATCGTCCCGGTGTGTACGAGGCTTTAGACATTCAACACACACTCCTTTTTATTCTGCAGTGTGTGTTACTGCTGTACCTCAAAATCTCTGCGTTTCTCATAAATGGGAATGATGAGTTTGTAGATGTCAGAGATGAGCTCATAACGCTCTGCTTTCCATAAACCATCAGCACATTCTTCCAAAAGCTCCATCAGGACGTCCTAGGAGGCACAAAAACAAACACACACTTAAACATTTAAAACCTTACAATGCAGATTTGTCTCATATACATAAAGATATTTTTGCATAGTGAATACAAAAGTATTTAGTCTCGCTTAAGTCTCACTGAATGTCTCCGCATAACAAATGCAAATGTAATCTGTGCTCGAATTTTGACTAAATTACCTTTTTTAAATGAACTAAATTCACTTTTTAAATAATTTTTGCTCAATGAATCATATTTTCTTTAGGTATCGTTGAAGTACTATTTTTTATTAAACATTTTCCATTTTTTATTTAAATGTTCATTTTTTAATTAATTTTAATTGTTAAAAGTTTCACTAATTTTGTTGTGTTTGTCATTTTTAAATTTCAGATTTAGTTTTAGTCCAAGTTAATCTAAACAAAAATGAGAAATGTTGCTTTGGAAACTAGCTGAAATAATAATATATATATATTTTGAGTTGAGTATCAGTCACAGTGGAGATAAGCTCACTGATAACCACCATCAGTTACATGGACATTAGATTATTGCTTCCCTCTTTTACTGCACTAATATTAAACTAAATCAACACTGACACTCTATAATGCTGTATCTTAACTTGATATGATGTGACAAAAATGCAAGTCATTTTGTTGATCAAAATATGATAGCCCTGCCTCAAGTGAAATCTTATTGGTCCAAAATCTTCCACTTCAAAATTGAATATTAAACATCAAATACATTCTGGCCGTGATTGTGTAACGGCATGCAGCAGTTTTGCATTCAGACAATTCACATTGTACCTGGAGATTCAGATATGGACATTCAATGTGTTTTTAATAGAAACAATGGGTTATGGATTATATGAATGGAGTTATTGGATACCGCAGTAAAACATATACGTAGGAAGTCATGACTCATGAGATATATTTCTGCAGCAGTGCTCTTTACTCATCTCATGCGCATCAGAAATACAGATTCAATCATTCTCAAAATGAATCAAGCACTTTATGGATCTAATAGCACTTCATTTATCACTGTTGCTTCTGCTGACCTTTGAATTTCAAATTCTGCCCTGCAAATGACATTTTTATTTTTATTTCTCAAATTCAGTCTTGAACTTGCTTCTCCTGAATTCTGCTTCTGATAGCAGCTACTGTAAAAGGCGGCTTCTCATTGCTCCATCTGTTCTACTGTGTGAACTTGCTTTTTGCTGAGCATCATGACTATTTGTTTCTCCTCTGATTTGAATGAATGGTTTGTTGGCTTTCAGACAGATATTCACCTCATTAAAGTGAACATCCTGCATCCCCACATCTTCCATCATGGACGCTTCTTCATCGATGTTTGGTGTGACCACTCTGAATGCAGTACAGCCCTGTTTAAACGTGCCTACACAAACACACAAACAACCATTACAATTCACATTTGGAGTTTTCCTGAAGCAATGCCATTAAAAAAAACAGACATATGAAAACAGCCAGATGTGTGATAATGCCTGGTAGAAAAGGTGAAGGATAATTGTTTGGAGTGAGTCCTGTCATGAAATGTTTTAATTCTTAACATACTGAGTGATAACTTATATCTTCAGGGACTTTATCAGACATGGGGAAGAGAGAGATATGAGGAGGTGAGAAGATGAGGAAAGAAACATGCCTGATAGTGAAACCTTCCACATACTACTGTGTAATCATTAAGAGTAAATACCTGAAAAAATTAGACATGTGTCCTTGGTAGCTAAGACTTAAAACTAACTCAAGCATTCTTACCAATTATAGACAAGACAGTAGGATTTTCAAAAGTAAATATGATAAAAATGAATTACAAACAAGACACTTGGCAATTTTACAATAGTGTACCCTTTTCATATATAAAATGTGTTGAATTAATATTCAAATTGCAGTGTTATATATATTAATGATTAAATACTGTACATAATATTTAGCACACTTTGCTTTTATTTCCCTCTAAAATACTGTGAAATGTTTTTGGACTCTTTCTACAACATAGGAACAATATATATATAGAGAGAGAGAGAGAGCGAGAGAGAGAGGAAACGACCGCATCCAGAAACACACGAGCGGGAAGCCATCTTTAAAAAGACGCCCGTCGCTCGTGGAGCTCTTTTAGAAAATGCTCTTTTTTTGAAGGAAATTTACTCTTTTAGAGAACGCTGAAGCGCCCAGGAGAGGTCGCGGTGAGACCAAACAAAATAGTTGACATGTATCAGTCTGGAAAGGTTTATAAAGCCATTTCTAAGGTTTTGGGACTCCAGCGAACCACAGTCAGAGCCATTATCCACAAATGGAGGAAACTTGTAACAGTGGTGAACCTTCTCAGGAGTGGCCAGCCTACCAAAATTACTCCAAGAGCGCAACGACGACTCATCCAGGAGGTCATAAAAGAACACAGACCAACATCTAAAGAACTGCAGGCCTCACTTGCCTCAATTAAGGTCAGTGTTCATGATTCAACAATAAGAAAGAGA